GTGGGCATGACCTCCTCCAGGCCCCTCAGGAAGAAATTTAGAACAAAAACTGCAGTCAGAGTTCTGTCCTCAGCTCCCCCTTCTCTGAGGTCTGTGTGCCAGTGGATCAATTGGATGGGGGTCCGGGTTTTCTGAAATACAACTCAGGGACATATATTAAGATATAATCCTTAGTTTCTATAGGGAGCCAAACATTCTTGTGACTGTAACTTCCTTGGCTGTTGTTTCAGGCTATTGTTACCTTCTTGCTTATCAAGTTGCTCATTTACTTCTCAGGGTTAGCTGGGTGCCTAGAATTTCCCTTGAAGGAACTCGAGATTTTCCTTTGTTTCTATACTTGCAGTTGGTGGGGAACAGGCTCCTAGGAGAGGTCCCTGCTGCATTTCATGGTAGCACCAGCCTCCCCTGCACTGAGAAGGGGCTGCCCTTTTGATTCTCCTCTCCATTCCGCTGCGCTGTAGAGCCCCGCTCTGGTCTTCCCTCCCTTCTGGCCCTACTCCCTTCATTGATGGCACTTGCCTGGCCCTTGTAGGCATCTGAGCTTATGAGTCGTGACACACAGAGTGTCAGGGCTGGAAGGGACTTTGGACACCATCCAGTTACGGCAGCTGACAGGTACCGAGCTGCGAGTACCTGCTGGGTTTGTGCCCAGGGCTTTCTGTGGTTCCTTTCATTTAAACTTCACAACAGGACTCATGAGGACTCATCTGGAAGAGGACCAAGTAGGGCTAATACATTTCATAATGCTAGCATTCAACATGCAATATGAGACCACCTTGGACTGTGTTCTATTTTGCAGATATAAGAAGGAGGGAAAGAAAATTACTGGAAAAAGCTGGATTTGTCCAAAGTGGAAACTCTGCCCTGGCCCCCATTGTGTCCACCATAGCCATCGTGCTGACATTCTCCTGCCACATCCTCCTGAGACGCAAACTCACTGCACCCGTGGTAAGAGCTGGCTTCAGATTGGGCCTCTTTTGCACCCTGACCCCGGGAAGTCCCAGATGGGAAGCCCTCCCTACCGTTGCTCAATGCTGGCATTGGGAACATCCGATCACAGCAGGCCACAGGATGCAACTTCAACTCCAACTTTTTTTTTTTTTCCTGAGACAGGTTCTTACTCTGTCGCCCAGGCTGGAGCTCAGTGGCATAATCGACTCACTGCAATCTCACCCCCTGGGTTCAAGCAATTCTCCTGCCACAGCCTCCTGAGTAGCTGGGATTACAGGTGCCGGCCACCACCACACCTGGCTAATTTTTGTATTTTTAGTAGAGATGGAGTTTCACCATGTTGGCCAGGCTGATCTTGAACTCCCAACCTCGGGTTGTCCACCTACCTTGGCCTCCTAAAATGCTGGGATTACAGCGTGAGTCACAGTGCCGGGCCAACTCCAACTTTTAGAAACAAGTGCTTTGGCTGACAAGGGGCCCAGGAGAGCCTGGCAGCAATTCTTATCATGTCCATGGCTGGGCAGGGGTCATAGTTAATGTGGGAATACAATTTTAAGTGTGGGGAAAAAGATGAAAACCAAACAAGCAGTTGACTGTTTTATTTATTTATACTACAAGAAGGAGAGTTTGAGAAAATTTTCTCGGAGGGAGGAGGTGTAGGTATTGGGAGAGGCAGTGGTGTTGGAGTCAGAGTCTGGGCTTAGGAGCCCGGTCGGCCTCATTTAAATCCAGACTCTGCTACTTAGTAGCTATAACTTACAGCAAATCATTGAGCCTCTCTGGCCTCGGTTTTGTTATCTGTAAATGGGACGATAA